ACCTACTCTTCGTGCGGCTCCTCGTGGGGCTTTATCCTTCTTCTGGATCATCCGAGGTAGCGCCGCTAGCACCACTCTCATCCATGGGGATACCTATATTCGGACAGGCCAGGCGCCTCGAATTGAGAGAAGGACATGCATTCGCTTTGTGACCCCTGGGCTCGATGTGAGATGAAGCGGTGTGATTATGGGACGGACAAAGTGGTGCGCACAGCGTCCGAACAAAACGTTTGCAGCGCGAGAACGAAGCTGGGACACGGAGCCCGCTCATGACCAGACGTATTCCGCATGTCTCTGCTTTGTCTTTAATCCGCCAGCCAGCCGAGGTATTCCGTCCGCGTTCTTGTTCTCGTCATGAGGGAATGGACTTCAGGGGTATCGAGCTGGACTGTAGGCCGTTGTTTGGGGAACGTGGCGCGCCGTGCTAATGCAGAGATGACAGGGACAGAGATAATTGGACGCAGTGTTTTCTAGGCACCGGGAGGAGTCCCGCGGGGAAGAAGCCGTACCGTTCTCGTGAGCACATGCACATGAGGATGTGGGCGCCTACGTGCAGATTATCATCTGCACATAGGATCCTGCGAAACGTAACGAGAGGCGCTAGTCATTCTTCGGCTACTTGCCCAGAAACCTCCCGACCTACCTGAGCCCATGTTTCTCTGTCTTACCTTGTCAAACAGTACCCAACGCAGGCAAGCTTGTTAGGTATCGTTTTTTTTCCCCGAGTCACGCATGGCCGAACATGCAATGCGAAAAGAGGGCGGGGATGGCTAGCCTCTTAGACGCTGGGGCCGTCGGGTGAAGTGTGATGAAATGTTGGAGTTGATGCGAACTTGGGAGAGATGGTGGGATACCACGGCATACTTACGATAGGGACGAGCTAATTGGACTCCGTTGGTGGATTAACGCTGTCGTATCTTCAAGTAGCTCCGTAGAGACGAGCCATTGCCGCCCAGGCTAAGGATTCCTGCATGGTTGTTGGTCTCGGCAAGTAGCGGCGAGATGGCAGGACATCCGACGGGTAAAAGAAGTGAATAACAAGTGCAAGTTGTTTCAAACAAATACCTTATGGTAAGGTACTGCCGAGGTAGCGAATAACTAAAACGGGTAGGGTGCTGGGCTTGAAGAAATAGTGTCTGGGAATCTTGGCCCAGGATGGCCTATCTCTGATGATGCCATTGCGTCACATGGATGCTAGAAGAACGAAACATGGCTGTGTCGCAATACCCTGAAAAGACAGCATCGCTGTCGCGTCGGTCTCGTCCGCCATCAATCGTCTTACGAATGTGATGCTTTCGTCCCTTGGGCTGGTACGCAAGGGTCTCAGGGCTGGGGGTCTGGACCGTCATACATACACACACACACACACACACACACACGTCAGGCTGTAGCCGTGGGTCTCGCATGAACCAATGCACGTTGCATAAGCTCTGGGGATGTTGAGACCAGGGCGGTACAGACGGCCTGTTAAGAATGCCATACCGAGCGAACTTGCTCCGTGGCCTCGGCGGTCTGTGGGCGGGCAGCTGGTTTTCTCCAGTCGCCGAAGGCTGGCTCCCTACCAAAGCCGCATCGGGTTCTGGGACGTCGGTCTAAAGTCACCGACGGCATGCATCCTTGTTTAAGGTTTTCGGCATGGCACTGGCTTGGCTTTTTATGTCGGGGCTCGGTTAGACTAAGGTCCATGTCATGAGCCCCTCTAGGGATATTAATGAGCGAGGAGAGAAGACGACATCGGCTCGGGATTTGGAGATTGACAGAAAGCCTTGTTCAGGCAGCTCAATTACTTGCTCTGCTCGTTATTGAGGAGGCCTCCTCCAGACCTCTGTTCAAGACCAATACGCGCCAGTCGAGGGAGAAGAGAGACACGGGATGGGCAAGGAAAGGAAAAACAAAATTGGCTGGCGGGCAAGAAGGACCCCTGGCTCTGCTCCAGACGTGGGCGGTCCCTTGCCGGAGTCGCACCAAACCGCATTTAGCTCTCCAAGCTCAATGGGTGGACACGTCGTATTTCCTGTTTAATGTGACGCTGCTGCTGCTGCTGCTGCCCGAGAGCTGTCTGGGCGGCGAGGTGCTCGGTGCCGGGCGGGCCGGGCAGGAAGACGTGTGAGTGTTTGCTCTCAGAAGTGCGTTGTTGCTCCAATGGAAAACGAACTCGGGCTGTCGATGCTTGATGTTTGGCCGTCACCACACTGCATTCCTCGGCGCCCCACTTGGACAAGATACTAGTACTTGCCCGTATGTAGTACATGGATGGTACATGCTGGCTGTTATATCTGCCGCCCGCCCTTCTCCAGACCCACAAGACCCTGTGGCGTTTTTCAGCCCAGAATCGATTGCCCACCTCGCACGCCAACAACTGTCTGGTGCCAACGACACAGTACCCAAGCACGGCACTTCCCTCGACCTGGTCCAAGTACCTCAACCAGCCAAATACCTCCTAGACAGTCCGCTCCCGCTCCCCAAACCCGTCCCATCTTCCCCTGGTCGCCCACCGCGGACGCGTTCGACGTTGCCGGCCCTCGCACAGATCCTGCCTTTGGTGAAGGGAACTTCCCAGCAGGTTTGAACGGCCGTCCCGAGTTTAAGCTCGCCTAGTGGCGCAAGGCCTCGCCAGCCCGCACGTGCCATGCGAACGGCCTTATCAAGTGTCAGGGCTAGCCACTTCGCCAGTCACCCAGTCCCACCCCCACCCCGCTTCAAGGGGGGCCGGCTGGTGCAGCAGGGTCACCCCCGGCTTCTCGAGACGGCCGGCTCTTGACATGCGACCGGTGACAAACGCAAGAGCGAGAGACGAGAGCAAGAGACGACGCAACCAAACGCGCCTCCACTCACCCTGAACTCCATCACTGCTCCGGGGTCTTGCTATTCACCCGGCCTCCGTTCCTTGCATGGCTACCCGAGTAGACATGCTGCAGGCCCGGCAGGGGGAAGAGCAAGAGGGTAAAAAATATTAATAACAAGAAAAAACACCCCCCACCACCCGCATGTACCTAGTGCCACTCCAGAACGGCCTTGACCAACACACCTAGCCCTAACACAAGGAATACATATCTCTACGTGCCTGCCGCCAGCCCACGACCCCTGCCTATATTCGTACATGTCTGTTCGCCTGTATCGTTACCCGCCAAGACCCCCACCACTGGCGTGCCAGGTTGCTTCACGAGCGAGCTCCGACCGTCTCTCCTCATGCTTTGCTCACCGGCCGAGAACCAACGTACCCGCCAAGTCCCCGGGTTTCCTCGGCATCGACATAGTCGGAGGCCACACACCGCTCAACCCACCACCCTGCAGCATCGCTTGGCCTTATAAGGTGGTTCAGCGCTTGGCTATTTTCTTAGCCCCGCTGGGCGTCCATCTGTCTGGACTGAGCACGAGGCTACAAACATCCGGCTGCATCACACTTGCCCGAGGTTATATCCTGCAGCACCGGCCTCAACACCGGCTTTAGCACAGGCCACAACACGCTCACTGTGGTCTGCCTGGTTTAGTCCAGGTCGCCAGGTAGCTCTGACATGTTTGCTTTCGATCCTAGTCTGCTCCCCTCCCTGCGGACGCGCAAGGCTCTCCTTATCCTCGACCTCCAGAACGACTTCTTGTCTCCCGATGGCGCTCTGTTTGTCAGCGAGCCCGAGGGCTATGTTCAGCGCACGATAGCCGTCGCCAACGCATTCCGCCAGTCAGGATCCGGCGATGTGATATGGGTGCGGTCCGAGTTCGAACAGGACCGAACCATCGTCAACAACCAGATCCTCACCTCGGACCTGCCCATACCTACCACCGTCTCGGCCCGCGGGCGTAGAGCGGGCCTCGGGACGGGCAAGGGTGAGGCCGATCACGAGGCGTTCCTCAGCCTGGCAGGCGACCCAGAGAGCCCCGAAGCCGATGACGACGGGGACGAGTTGGGCCCGAAGCCCGAGTGCGTCCGGCCGGGCAAGGACGGCAGTGCTCTTGCCGACCACGTCGCCGCTGCGGTTGCCGCCGGGAAAGACTCGGTCTTGACCAAGACGGAATACTCGGCCTTCCAGTCCGGTCAACTGCTGAAGCTGCTGCGGACCCGCTTCGCAACCGAGCTCTTCATATGCGGCGCCTTGACCAATGTCAGCATCCACGCCACTGCGCTAGACGGCGCCAGCCACGGGCTGCGGATGACCATAGTCGAGGACTGCTGTGGCTATCGCAGCCTCATCCGGCACAACAATGCCATCCGGAACCTGGTACAGCTCACTGGCTGCGAGACGGCAACAGCAGAGGATTTGATAACCAGCCTCGGCGGGAGCCCCAGCCCGGCCACCGCAAAGGGCCCGGCGCCGGCATCGATTCCTATTCGGGAGAAGAAGGAGGCCGGGCGGGGCCCCTCAGCCGCGGGGCCGGTCAGGACGTCGAGCGGTTCAAGAAGCAGTCCCAAGGATAAATTCGTACGTGATACGATTGCGGACAGCACCACCGACTCCTCGTCCTCTCCGGCAGCCTTGAAAGGTGATTTGAAGACGCTAAGCGACGCCTCTCCTGCAGCCGCCGAGCCCAACGCGCCTCAGCCGCAGGCCCGCCAGCAGCCGCTTCAGGCCATGGTAGGTTCTGGAAACCCTGACCTCGGACAACCAGTAGGATTGCCTAAAGCACCGCCCGCGTCGGCGTCCAAGCCCAAGGCTGTGCCGTCGCTGGGCTCGACCTCCACAGCTAGCGATAGCCTGCAGCATGCGGATGACTCACCAGGGCAGAAGAAGACCCCTGACAGCAGCGACAGCAGCCCAAGGGCCCTTGTGTTATCAAAGGGCGCGAATGACAAGCTCTCGGTGGAGACAAAGGTACCTCTAGTCTGCCCTATTTATTTGAAGACAGTGTAGTTGGTTCAGCACCCTGCAATGCAGGGAAAGGGACAGCAAAGCCGTACCTCAAGTGGCGTATGCATATATTAACCTAGGGACATTGTCCATGGCCCATAGCCCGCACCAGATACTTCAGCCCCAGCTTCACATGTCGTCGGAGATTCACATGCCGTCGGAGACGATACCATCAAATCGTCGAAAACGCTGTCTCCCGAGATAAACACGGCACAAGACTCGGAAGAAGAAGCTCGAGTACCAAAAATGAAGGAGGGATCTCGACCAGCCCCGTCCGAGCCCTTGTGCGAGGGTGATACGACCATCTTTCACAATGTGCTATCTGAAAAGCTGGAGAGCGGGATCTTTGAGCGACTGAGAGTCGAGGTCCGCTGGCTTCGCATGTCTCATCAGGGAGGTGAGGTTCCGCGCCTCGTCTGCGTCCAGGGCGAGGTCGACGCCGAGGGTAATATGCCAGTCTACCGGCACCCGTCGGATGAGTCACCACCGCTTGTCCCGTTCAGCCCGACTGTATTGGAAATCAAGAGAGAGATCGAGGAGGTTTTAGGGCACACCCTGAACCACGTCCTGATCCAGTTCTACCGCAGCGGCAGCGACTACATCTCGGAGCACAGCGACAAGACTCTAGATATCGTACCGGGCTCGTTCATCGCCAACGTGAGTCTCGGCGCCGAACGGACCATGGTTCTCCGCACAAAGAGGGCGGATAAGGATCCCTCGCGGAAGCCCGGTTCGCTAGAAACCTCGGCCGACCAGCAGCAGCAGGACGGCCCTGCCAAGCGCGAGGTGGTCCGCGCACGCCTGCCGCACAACTCGCTCTGCCGCATGGGCCTCCAGACCAATGAGCGCTGGCTGCACGCCATCCGGCAGGACAAGAGGATGGACCGCGACAAGACGGACGGCGAGCTCGCCTTCTCGGGCGGGCGCATCAGCCTGACCTTCCGCAAGATCGGCACCTTTTTGAACCGCGACTCCACCGCCATCTGGGGCCAGGGCGCGACCTCCAAGGCCCGCGAGGGCGCCGGGCCCGTGGTCAACGGGCAGGGCGACGAGGCGATCCGGATGCTGAAAGCGTTCGGTACCGAGAACCACTCGTCCAGCTTCGACTGGGCCGCCGCGTACGGGGCGGGCTTCGACGTGCTGCATATGAGCAGCTCGCCGCGCTTCTTCTCGGGGCCCGACCCCGTCGTCAACATGCGCGTTCGGCTAATGCTGGCCGCCTTTGGCGTCTCGTACGCGAGGGGCAGCGTGGGCCCCGCTCCCGCCGGCGCGACGGACGCCGGTCCGGCCGACGCCGGCGGCGCGGTGGTCAAGTTCATCGACAACGACCCCGGCAAGGCGTCGCTCCAGGGCGACGTGGCCGTCATGTTGTACCTGGACAACGTGCACCGTCCCAAGAAGGGTGCGGGTGGCGCGCCGGTCCGTCCAGAGCTCGCGCGCGAGCTCACGCGGTTCCAGCAGGCGCTGGGTCTGCTGGACAGGTGGAGGGCGGTGGCGGTCTCGACAAAGGGCGAGGTCGCGGCCGAGACTAAACAGCTGCCAGGAGCGGATGGCGTCGCGGTTGAGACCAAGGGCCAGCCAGTTGCGGACGAGCCCGCCGCCGCCGCCGCCCCCTCCCTCACCAAAAAGGCGACGCAAATTCTAAGGCCGCTGGCGCGCGATCTGGCCGTCTACGACGCATACGCGACCGAGGCGGCGGCCCCTGCTCCTGCCGACGGCACCCCGGACAAGAACAGCGACGCCGGCGGCTATTGCTTCATCGCGGGTGGGGCGTCGGCCTCTATTGCAGACTACGCCCTGTGGCCTGTCCTGCACGACATGGCGTCCTCGTGCGGCGGGCCCGAGGCGTTCGCCGGCGCGCTCAGGCATCTCAAGCTGGGGCGCCTCGCTGGGTACTACGAGTCCTTTGGAAAGACCGATTGCGTGCGACGCGTGCTCGACGGGGACGCCGGTAAGCCCGCCGCTCAGTCTTCATGTCTGGTTTAGCTGTCGAGAAGGACGCGGTTGTTGGGAGGGCATGCGGAATTTTCTACCTAGCTATTACATGGTGGTGATGGATGCTAGCAAAGCGTTGCTGTTTGGATAACAAATTGGCTAGCACGCCGGTTGTGTCGGGCATTTTGAGCGCCGTTTGATAGTAATCTGAAGTTGTAACAACGCGATTTTGGCCGTGCATATGATAAGGCTGCCGTGATCGAAACATCACACAACGTAATCGTAACAGCAATTTGCTCGAGCATTGATAATAAACAAAAAAAAAGAAGGAAAGAAAAAGAAACAAAAAAAAAAAGCTTGCTGCCGCTTCGGGGCGACAGCTACGAAACACCCCACTTGGGAGGTTTTCTCCGATCCCCAACCGGGGCTCGAACACCCAAACCCAAGAGGCTCTTGCAGTGGAGTACAGGTAGGGTCCCGGTGTCGACTCGACCCATCCTCATAACCACTACACCAACTTGGCGTCCGTTGGTGTTCGATGACTACCGAGGGCAGGAGCAACGGCTATATGGGCATAGAAGGCGTGCACATTCGGCAGGTGCGGCTGGTGGCCGCCGTGGGTGCGGTGTTGCCGTTCCTGGGCAATATTTTTTATATCTGGCTTTCCGTCACGCGAGGGAGCCGTCCAGCCTGTCAGCCAATGGGACCAGCACGACTGTTTACATTATGGTATTACGCACCAACGCTAAAGCAAAGCCTTGCTGCGGATTTAACTATATATACGAATTCGAACTCTGTCATTTCTGTTCTCAAAACGGATTACAAGGAATGGCGAATCTTAGCTTAACTGCAGCGGGCTTCCGTATCTCGCCTCTGCCACCGTTATTTGACGCCTAAGAAGTCGTACTTGCGTCTTGCCGAAGCGGGAAAGAACGTCCTGCCCAGTCATACCATAGCAACCAGGTCGCGAAAGCATCATGTCGCCGCCCTCGAAGCGGATGGTGAAAGTTGAGGAGGGAATGTAAAGAAGGAAGTTTGAGGGTAAAAGTCGAAGGAGATAATATAGGGTAGTTGAAGGGGGGGCACCATCCAGACGACTTGTCCAAGGACTGGGATGATACTTACGATACTCGTGGCTTCCAGGGCCAAGGCCAGTTCAGTCTCGATGCACTCAAAATCAGGGCTACAAAACACGATAGGTCTGCTTTTTACGCCAATCAACTTTGCACCTCTCAAGATTATAACCAAGACTCCTTTATTATCCATCCAAAAGTATGCAATCTAGTGCTTCTATCTCTGTTGTGAAATGTATCGTTCTCTTTTGCCCTTTTCCAACCCATGGTGTTAAACCAATGAACAAAAGCGACTGTGAGATGATCATGGCATCGTGTTGGTAATTCCAAGTAGCGAACGCTGGTATTTGTCCCATAAACTCGCGGTACGCGCCATCCTCGTCTTGAGGAGTGGAGCGGCCGACGTGGTATCAAAACTGAAAGAGAAAAATAGACCAAGGAATAAATCCGCCGGATGACAGGAGAGTCTCGAGGCGGCGATGGGCCGGGGCCGAAGAAGAATAAGCAGGTTGGTGAAGCACTTGTCGGTGATTCTCCAGAATGTCGATTGTGCCTCAAGACTCGACGATCTCAACCTGAGGGACGCGGCCGGCAGAGAGGACATCGCCGACCTTCTCGGGCTGGGCGGCGCCAGCCTTCTCAGCCGAGGCCCTGGCCCTGCGCCTCTCCATCTCGCGCTCGATGCCGTGGTGGACGGCCTCGAGTACGGTAGGGACAGTAGCGCGGGGCTTATAGGCGGGCACAGTGCCGTCCTGGTAGATACCCGTCTTGACGAGAATGCTGTACCACTCGTTGTCGCTGACGGCGTCCATGGCGTTGGTGCCGCGGATGTCCGACTCGGGCGTGTCGCCGACGAAGTAGACCGTCTCGGGCGGAGGTGTGTTGGCGGCCAGGCCGTGGCGGTCCTCGCGCCAGCGCTGCAGGAGGCGCGTGGCGAACTCGAACGTGGGCACCTGCGGCTTGCCAAACGAGTGCGCCCGCAGCTTGCCCTTGCCCTGCGTCACGTCGGCGAAGACGACCTCGACAATGCGACGGAGCGCGCCCATACCCAGACGAGCGTGCTCGTGCTGCGCCGCCCAGAGGGTGTCGTTGTGCGAGAAGAAGACCGGCGGGCCCTCATCAAAAGTCTCAGACCGGGTCTCGAGGCGGCCACCCTTGGACATGGCAACGTCGAGGATAATCTGCAGGTCCGAGGCCCAATCGCGGCTGTCGGCAAAGACAAAGATGGCCTCGATGACAATCTTGGTCAGGTCGCCATCGGTGCGGGCGAGCAGGTCGCGAGAGTTGGAGTGCTCCTGGGGCGTCAGCTTCCGGAACGGCGCCGTGGCTGCATTGGCCTTGATAATGTCTCCAGGAGTGATGACATCGGTGAAGCCGTAGCCCTCGGCTACCTCACGGCACTTCTCGCCCTCTCCACCAACGACCAGGACGGTGCGGTGCTGCTCGGCCAGTTCCCTCATGGGCGTGTGGCCGCAGATGAACTGGCCGGTCGAGACCTCGATCTCGAGCTGCTTGGAGAGGTCCTTGCAGCGCTCGGCCTCGGTCTTGCCGCCGCCGTTTGTAAGGAAGATGTAAGGGCTGGAGTACAGTTTCGAGGTCAGTCTCATATCTTTGAATGATTTTGGTGAGGTGGCATGGGCTAAACACTTACACCTTGACGCCATACTGGTTCTCGCCGTTCAGCACCTTCATGGCCTCGATGGCCTCAGGGATAGGGTTGCCGCCCCGGATGAGGACGCCATCAATATCAAATGCAAACGCAAAATCCTCAGTGACGTCCGGGTCCACAAGGGGGGTGAGCGCAGCCGTCAGGGGCGTGCCCGGGCTTGCAAGAGTGGGGGTACCCACCCCCGAGTCGGAGGCCAGGGAGCCCGGCGATGCGGGGGTAGATTCCGAGTCTGAGAGGTCCGGAGTGGAGTCGTCGTTGAGAGAAAGCTGCTTCAGCTCCGTCTTCAACTCCTTGTCCAGCTTGTGTCGAGCCTTATCGAAGGCCTCGGCGAAGCTGCTGGACGAGACGGTCCGGGCAGGAGCGGCAGGCCTCTGGAGGGTCGGCATGATGGGAGGATGTGAGATGCCGGCTGTAGGTGTGCGTGCCGGGGAGCCTAAGAAAGGCAGTGAGAGGAAGGAGTGGTCGGCTGGTGCTGGTCTGGTCTGAGGAAACAGAGGACGGAAGGCTGTGATGCCAGTTGATAATCACAGTATGTATCTGTCTTAATAGAGATGCTATGGGGATGAAAAGCGGAAACTGGAACGGGATGGAATTTGTGGCCTTCGATAGACCGGCGATGCTCGAGATACTTATACCCATAGTCACTCGTCTAGTGAGGGCCATCTTTACCCCTGAGACGGCAGCAACGAAGAGGGAGGCGAGCCAGCGGCATCCCTGATGGCTAGGCGATGATGCCACAGCCAGGTGGAACCGCTAACATGAACGAATTTTCACATCCCGGCGTCAGACTGCGTCTGATGTTGGACGAGCAAAGTAAAAAGCACGGAACGGAAATAAAATGAAAAAAAAAACAACTCAGTGGATATCCTAGGCTGTGGGATTTCATGGGCAAGCTGAGGAGCCGTGTCTGATTCGGCGGGTGGCGCATGTTGCATACTGTGGACGGCGTACCAAGTACGGAGTACAGTGCACAGTTGCATATCCCACTCTTAGACCCCCTTGCCTCGTTGTGTCAACTTCTCTCATCTTCTTCGAAAGGCAGGTAGCCGAGGATCGACAAGAGGCCTGGTGGATACGTGCGACGAGGGGATAGGAGAGAGGACGTGCGGATATGTGCATCGTTGCTCTTTCCCTGTGCTGCGCTGGCAGGTCTTGTTCCGTGTGGCCGAGCACATCCGTGACAAAGGACGCTATCTGCGCCCTGCAGATGCAGCAGGGCTCCTCAAGACGGGTGGAGAAAAAACATTGGCCCGGGCAGGCATTCCTTCTGGAAAACACCATGCCTGTCGTCACCCCGTTTAGTTTTTCCCTTCTCGGGGCTGCGGCTCAGGCTTCCCACGGGCCAGGAGGTTCCATGGAATCTTCCACGGACTTGGGACCAACCGGCAGTGTCATAGGTGACGGGGACGGGCCCGGGCGGATTCACATGGCAAGATTCAAGATTTGGGCGAGGTTTCGGGAGGGTGAAAGGGACGAACGGGTTGTGACGTCGGCCTGGTCCCTAGGAAGCCCCCCCGTCGCCGGTCGTTTGCTTGCCCGCTTGGCCGTGTGTAGCAATATCATCGTACATGCCCGGCCATGCACGTCGTACGCAGGCGGTGGTAGGGTCGTCGTAGCGGGAGCAGGGGAGGGAGGCAGGATGAAGGCTGCAGAGGCTTGACTCGGAGCCACCGCTGGAGTCCCCACCCTGCGTAGCGTGGGCTGGCTGCGGCTCCCTGTTACGCCGACGCGCCCACGTTTTGCACCGTGTGTTCGTCGTCTCCACCGTGCCGCCGCGCCGTGCGTTGGGGCGGGCTTGGGCGTGGGCTCGGGGGGACTGGACATGTCGCCTTGAATGATGGTCAAGGTTCGGTGGCGGGCGGCGCCAGGCAGCGCGAGGGGAAAGCCGGAAGGGCTTGATAGCCCTTGAGCGGCGGAGGCTCCACAGGACCAGAGAACCGCCGTATCGCTAGGCCAGAAACGGGCAGGATCGGACACCCCCTGCCTGTGCATGGGGCTCTGCGGCTTGTTGAGCGCGCAGCGATCGTCAGGGTTCCGGTCAGACCTGTTTTTGGAGGGGTAATTTCTGTGCTGTCACACCTTGTCCAACCGCCGTCCCGTCTGGCAGGCGCGGCTGGCAGCAGGCGGCACAGTCGCACCGCGCCTGCAGCCAGAGCTGAGCACCTAAAAGGTGTGCCACACCAAACCGACGGCAGACATTGAGACCCCTAGATGCGGCTGCTGACGGGCCACCACCAAATCAGCTTGGACGACACCACGACACGTCGACACGTCGACACCGCCGGGCCGCTTACACGCTACGGAGGGCCCAAAATGCAAGGGAGACGGGAGACGGCAGACGGTCGGAGAGATCTGCCCTGCCGCCATGCAAAGATTCAGGGAAAACCACGGATTGGCGCCGCGGCAGCGCCATCACCTTGCATCTCTAACCTAGCCCGAGCCAGCTCGAGCCAGCCTCTTGGGGTGGCCTTGTCCAACACGTCGCGCTGACTGGAGGCTCCTGCAGCGCGCCCAGCGTTTTGGACCTGCGGCGGGGATACCTGGCGGTGAGGCGGGTCAGTCAGGGTCCACCACCAGTGTACCCCATCCCCACCGATTGGGCTGATGCAGGCTGTCGGCCCGTTGTGACGTCAGTGGTGGGTTCCGGTGGGCTCCATGGCTTCTGGCATGGAGAGTGCATTCAAGGAAAAGCAAAAGGACAGGCCTCCACTGGGATGCCCACGTTGCGGTGGAACAGAGCCCGCACTGGTCAGATCCTGCATCTAGAGTGGAGGGGACCTTGATGGGCGATAAGGGCCGTACAGACACTGCGGTGGACACTGCGGTGATTATGTACATACGTAGGGGAGAAGAGCCAAGAGACACAACGTCTTGTCACCCTGTAGCCTGTGTTGCCTGCCCATGGTGGCATACCTGCTAGTATCTCGCGCGCTAGGGGCGGACACTGTGGCGGGTGGCCGCTTCGCCCGTACCATGAGCTCGCCATGCACGCAACACAACACCCTCTCATCTCACCTAACGAACCAAGAGATTCGGACTGTGTGCTAACACCAGAGTCAACACAGTGCGGTCTCGCCTTATCCAGGGACTGATTGAGGATGGCGAGTCGGAGGCTCTTTTGATTTGCCCGCCGATATGCCTACCGGCAGGTATGAAGGGGGGCGCCGAGATGCGCGTTGCCGGGTCTATTGTTTGCTGGGCCGCGATATACCCAAGCTTTTGGCTGTCTTGACCGCAGATTCCTGGGTTGGCCCTCCCCGTGATGTAGCAACAAAAAGGACTCCCCTCACTTTGAATAGGGAGCCTCATGCCGTCTGCTAACGAGAATGCTGATAGGCTTATCGACGACGCGAGTAGAACCTCTATTTTCCCAAATACCCGCTTACACCCAAGCGCCGTACAGTATTTAAAAAAAACTGTCTGGTACTCTAGAAAGTGCGGCCTATCCAAGTTTTACGGTGGAACTCAGCCTAGGCGTTGTCACAAGCAAAAAAAAAAAAAAAGGAAAAACGAAAGAGTGATAGAACAAAAAAAGAGTTCTTATCTTGCGGGCGGTGGGCGTCCACACCCTATCTCTTGGACAACCAATAGCCAGTCCCCAGGATTGTGTCCGTCCCTACAGTATGGCCACACATGTCTGACCAAGTCACAGAAACGTAAAAGCGCGAGCCTTGACTGGCCCCATTACCCCAGGCGAACCCGACGGGTCCGATGGCGGCCTCACAGCGCGCAGCAGCGATGGGTGGATGTATGGCACACTATCCACTCTTTCCTGCCTTGTCAGGACGTTGGCTCACCGGTGGGTTTGGGCTGAGGGATAAAGGGCCGATGGAGGGCCGTCTGCACGTCCGGCGTTCTGGCATCACGGCTACTGTCGGGCTCGGCTTGTCTGGGCAGAGCAGGGAGGTTCTCCGCCGCCGGGCCCCGGTATAGTCGGGGTAATAGCCCGAGAACAATGGTGGAGAGCAGGGAAACAACGCAATCTGGTAGACTATATTCCCCATAAAGGCAGCAACATCGAGTAATATGAGCTCAGCATGGTGTTAGTCCGAGGCATCCTCTCTGCCTGATCGGTCGATTCAAATCTCGGAGACCGGTTGTGACGGAAGGGGGGCGCCCCATCGGCTTGGACTCCAGTTATTCCTCCGAGATTGCGGCCGGCAAAGTCACGGCACCAACGGCAGCCTTTTTTGAGAACTGCGCGCCAAGGCCCTGCAAGCGAGCGTGCGTTATTATGCAGGGCCGTGTGCCGCAGCTTCCCATGGACGAGTCGCGTGCGGCCCAGTTTGTGCGGGCAAGGGGGAAATGTTCCCCAGGGGAGTGGGATCCAACGAGAGGAGAGGCCTTCTTTGTCCGCGCGGCTGGGCAACATTGACAACGCAGCGCCAGACAGGTTTGCTGGTGAACATCAATATGGAGACGGTTCTGCAGTTTCAGGTGAGCCTCGGGTGATAGAATGGGGTCGCTTCCAATTGACATGATAAGAAGATCCTCATTTTGGATCTGAGCCGTCGTGTTGGTTTGGCAGGCTGTTACGTTACTGCCATGCTACGCTGGAAGTTGACGGCTTGAACGATTCTTCTAACGGCAAGGGAGTGGGATTTGTTCATGATATCAGCCGATTCCGCCTCGCGCCAGAGTTGTTCGTAGACACCTCCCTACTTCTATTCTCCTTTCACCCACGGTCGTAAGCCTAGTTTTCATGAAAATTAAACCCGCCCCAGACGGACGTGGCGGTCCACCCAGCCGCATCCACGACCCTCCGCCTCCTCTCACGGTCTCGCAGGGCATCCTCGACGCTGGAGAAGGTGCCGAACCCACCCACCTCCGCCCTCTCCACCCGCAGCCAGCCTCTAGGTCCAGCTGCGACGTCGATGGATGAGGATGAGAATGAGGGGGCGGCTCCATGGAGAAGTGGCGCCGCCGAACCACCACCGCTGCCAGCGGCGGCAGCAGCAACCCCGGCCGCACTGTTTCCGCCAACCACAAAGGTGCCCCACCACCCTCGCCCGCCGCTGCCGTGCGCCCCGTACAGCATGTGCTGCTCAGCCGCCGCGACGGCCTCCCGGACGAGGCTGCCTCGCGCCGGGCGATGGACGTGGACGTGCGCCAGGTCGGACAGAGACACCCCCCCTGCCACCAGAGGGCTGCGATTTGCCCGCGGCCGGAACTGGCGGTGTGGTCGTGGGCCCTGCGCCCGGCGCGTCGGCTCCCCCGCCGAAGACCGCCGATCTCTGCCGATCATGCAGCGGCCGTGTTGCTTCCTCGCCTGCGCCAATCGGTGCCGCCTGTCCTCCGGGCGTAGTCGACGGTGGCCGCTCGGCAGCAGGCGCCGCTGCCGCCCCAACCCCAACCCCAACCAAAGCCGGAGCCGTAGCAGGAGCAGCGGTAGTAGTGGTGGTGGTGGCGGCGGCGGCGGCGTAGGGTGTGCACTCCAGCACCCTGGTGATGTCGAAGCGCGACTCCAGATCGACCACAACGACCGTCTTGCCGTGCGGCGGCGCGATGAGCGTGGCGACGAGCAGGTAGATCAGCGGGAGCTGCCTGCCCGAGACGGACACGACCGCCGCCTGCGTCGCGCGGAGGTGTTTCGCCGCCAGGCCATTGAGCGCAGGGATGGGAAACACTTTCAGCTGCTGCTGCTGCTGCTGCTGCGATTGTTTGCCTCTGGTGGCGACGCCGGGCCCGATGGCGGTTTCTGCTGCCACCCTCGTGGCATCACGACTGCTCAGCCCGTTGAATGCGGAGCGTAGTGAGGCGAGGAGCTGGAGCGAGTGTTGTCAGCTTGCAGTTCAACCAGTGCTCTCTTGGAAACCCCCCAATTTTGCTCGCGCCTGCGAGTCGGCAGGTGGGCCGGGCTGCCATTCTCAAGCCCACATGCCCTGCCTAAATCACAGCTCAATTGGAATGGCATTGCTTCAGCTCCCTCCTCGTTGGAGAAGGAAGGTCCTCTTCAAACAATAATAAAGGATCATGAGACCAAGTAACAAGCTTGCTTCGATGGTATCTCTCGCCGACAGCTCACCTCATCAAGCGTCGTCTCTTCAATCTCGCTGAGCACGCGGGCGCCCATTGCGGAGGCCGCTGCCATTGTGTCGTACACTGTGGGTTGGGCACGCCTTGTCTTCCCATTCGCTCACCCCCTTTCTGGTCGGGAAACGGATTGGTTGCGCACGACCAAAATGGCGTCGTCGATCCCCGCCTTCTCCGCGGCCGAGCTTCCCACAAAGATCCAGTCGGACCCCAACGGGCGCAAGCGGAAGCTGCCGGCGCTACCCGACGGCCGCACGAAGCTGGATCTCCAGAAGGACTGCGAGTTGCTCTCGCTGCTACAGTACAGCTGCACCGTTGACAGGCCCGACGAGCCCGGCTCCAGCGTTCAGTGCTGGCCTGTACCGAGGCTATTTAGAAAGTAAGGCCAGTCAGGGAGCTTAGCTGGTTGTGTTTTCTGTCGTTTTTGGTTGTTGCTAAATGGATTTCGATGGCACAACAGATGTCAGGATAAGAGGGGCACTTTCATGGTCGAAACTACCGCCTGGGAAGGCTTTCCAGGCTGCCCTGCCGACAAATCAGCAGAAGTCCCCGTCGAGAAGCACAAGTGACAGGCACAGAGGAAACAGCGGAAGAGGTACAAAGTCACATTCGCCAACTTCGGAGGGTTCAGGATCAGATATAAGAAATGCCCCCCACATTCGTATAGGCTGCGCATCATTTCCAAACAGCAGGGGTCGACACAGAGTGGCAGAAGCTCGATGTCTGCGAACATAACCCACATTACCAAAGTCTGTGAAGCTGCGCCTTGCGTCGCCGGATTGAATTGTCAACGCCTTGTTAGAGCAACGCTATCATGGAAACAGGTCGGAATGACGCATCCTAGTCTGGGCGCTAGATCGAAATACGCATGAAAAGAGGCGCGTGCGACCAGAGGATGCCTAGTTCATTGCCTGAACTGTCTATTCCCATCAAGTCGAACGCAACCCATTCTAGCCTCGTCCCAAATCATCCTTTCAGAATTTGATTGTCATCTGGGCGGATATATACAGGCAGTTGATGAGGGCTCGTCGCTTTCTCTGGTTGATGTCGGATCGCGTCGGCCTTCGCAAGCCCCCCTCTTACTGGCGGGCCGCAGCGCGCTCGTCCTCGAGCTTCCTGTAGAAGTTGTCGCGCATGTTCCTGCGGGGAACGTGGTATCCGTACCTAGATGGCGAGGGATTAGAACGGAGCAACAGCTGACCACCGATTCCCCCACCCGACCCTGTTTGTCGTACCAGAAGGCGCTGCCCATAATTGTGCCGATACCTGTATTCCAGAACACCATGTTAGCCAACTGCGGTATACGCACATGACGACATTGCGGTCGCGAGAGGGGTTGCCGGCGCGTATCGGTGGGGTGTCCTAACGCTACGGCAACGCCGCAGGTATGAACGCTCAAAACCACGTACCAAGAGCGATTCCGAGATCGAGAATGAGGCCCCGGCGGAGCATCTGTGATCAACAACGTCTGGTGTGAGCTACTCGAACCATGGCTGCCTGAACCCTCCTAACCCTCTCCAGCCCAGAGTCCCACATCGCGGTGCCATTGCGCCGTCGGCTCTGGTCGGGGAGCGGCGAGGTTGACGTACACCAACAATGGGCTTCACAGCCATCTTGATTGTGTGCTTGATGTGTGTTGCGGATCGGGGGTCGGTCGCGTCGTCGGGGGTCGGGATTTGTGAGTCTTTACTGACGGCTTCTCTCGCTTTGGTTTCCGGCAAAGAGCTTCAGACATGACCTGATTTCCTGGGTGGAGCTTGCCAGCATCACGTGCATGCCGCCTCCGCAACTCTCTTTCTCTCAGCCCGTCTGGATTATGTCAGCACCCGACGACAGGCGGGAGCGGGTTCCAAATTTCTAGCGGTGATCGTAGTGGCAGCGGGGGAGGGCTTCAAAGTCGCGGCCCTGCTCAGCGGAACAGAGCACAGCAGTCACCATGAGCCTCCATTTGCCCGCAAGACGGGCTATACAGGCTGGTATGCCATCCCTCGAGTGTTCCGTCCTAAATCGGCACCATCGCGCGCTTAATTGCTACCTAGCGAGAGCGCTATGGAAAGCCCCTCCCTCCTGATCCTAGAACCACAGACTGACCTCGTCGAGGAAACCACCACCCCCAGCTGCCTCAACACCCCTCAGACCGATAGCGGCCGCGGCATTATGCGGGCCGATGCAGTCCGTCTCCCTCGGGGCCGCTGCACCCACAACCCTCCAGCTCACGCAGAGCCGCACCTTCCTGGGCTGGCTGCGCGGGAAGAAGAAGAAGGATGAGCGCGACGTGGCCAAGGAGGTGATACCGACGGACAACGATGCCGACATGATGCGCAAAAAGCTCTCGACCCCCAAGATGGACGGCTCCATCTTCTCGGACGAGCTCGGCAGCGGCGGCGACCGGGAGGTGGCGACCGGCGACGCCGCTGCTGCTGCCCTCGCCGGCGACGGCGACGTCAAGCTGCGCAGCGGCGGCTCCAAGTCGCCCGAGGCACTGCTGCGGGCCGTGGACCCGGACCCGCGCAGCCGCGAGCGCTGGCAGCGCAAGATGGTGGCGCGCATGGTGGCGCGGCGGCTGGACCCGTGGGACCGCGAGACGCGCGCCGAGCGCATCGCCCGCACGGAGCGGCAGCACGTCCACCGCAGCCCGCTGCTCATCACGTCGACCAAGAAGCTCGTCCACATCGCCCGCCAGGTCGCCGGCAAGCCCCTGGACGAGGCCGCCGTGCAGATGCGCTTCAGCAGGAAGAAGTTCGCAAAGGAGGTCGGCGTCCAGATCGACGCCGCCCGCGACGAGGCCGCCGTCATCGCCGGCATGGGCCTGTCCGCCCCCGGTAAGAAGCCCGAGGATGGGGCCGAGGCCTTCAAGCCCGTCAGGTTCAAGAACAAGGACGGCAAGTGGGTCACGGTCGACGACCCGAGCAGGCTCTACATCGACCAGGCGTGGGTGAACAGGGGACCTTTCATCTTCAAGGGCTTCCATTACTCTGGACGCGGAAGGTCTAATGCTATGTGGACACGCACATCAAGTAAGTAACCACCCTTTCGTCCAAACCCCCCGACACCTTTCTGCTTCGCTCCGCGGCTCTTGCCAGACACCTCGTCTCTAACACTGTCGGCAGACATCAACTTTATTGTCAAGGAGGAGAAGACGCGGGTAAGGGAAAACGAGGAGAGGGAAGCCAAGAAGGCTCGGCGCAAACCCTGGGTTCACCTGCCGAATCGCCCCGTTACCGCACAGAGGCAACACTATTCGTGGTAGATCCAACTCAAAACCTTGTGATGTAGACACGGCACATGGTGGTACCGGTATCGGTTCGTTGCAGGAACTTGATATGTATGCTGCACGAGGAAAGAAAGGACATCGTGTGTGGTGCGGACGAATAGTTCTCAGCACACTGTAACAATATGAATATCAATAACCGAGAGAAAACCTCGTCCAATACTACCAGCAAAAGGGATGAGATTTATCAACGCATGTGCACTGAGCAAGAAGTCACTATGTAATGTGGCATTTTATTACCCACAGCAAGGAGATTTGAGATTACAGGCGCCCAAAATGTGCCAAAAGAGAAACACCATTCTCGTCAGTGTCCGAAGAAAGCAATGCTAGGTTTGCCCGTTTTGTAGATGTCTCAGCTGCACCATCCGAGTAGACCATCTAGACCATTATAAAACAATTCAATGCGATGAGCCAGTCGAGACATTTGAGTTGAAGTTGAACTTGTTCAAGGGGTATCACAGTCGTGAACCCTGTAGAAAGTCAAGCGCCATCTCTCGAGTTTTAGATATTTTAAACATAATCATCGTGACATCATATCGATCCCTGGGTAGGGTGCATGAAAGGTGGACGACTAGATGGGTACAGGCTGCGAGGGTGTAGATGCAAACGGAGTGATTGTGGGGGAGCAAAATAGCAAGGCACCGCCTGAAAGGGATAAGACAAGGCGTGGGCTGGTCTGTCGACATCGTCTCGGGGCCACGCACCCTTCCCTTCATGGCCGGACTATACCATGGTCCTGGGTGTCTGCCTAGGAAGCATATCCTCGTAGCGGCGGCTCTTGAAATCGTCCAGAGACGAGTTGGTCTCGTACTTCTCGTTGTGGTGATCGCCGGCGTACGTCCGGCCGGAACCGGGCATGGGCTGGCTGATATTCAGGTGGATATCGTTGCCTTCGGCAGCGGCGCGGCGGTTGTTGCGCTTGTGGAGGAAGACACAGACAAGGACGCCGATGAGGGCGATTCCGATAGCAGAGCTGCCAATGGCAATCCCCGCCACCGTGGCGCTCGAGAGGGAGTCGGACTTGGACTGGTTTGCGTTACCGGCACCGGCACCGGCACCAGCAGCGGCCCCCGAAGTCGGTGAGCTTGAGGTCGAGGACGACGAAGCCGAAGAAGAAGCAGAGCCAGTAGAGCTGTGGCTGCTGCTAGTAGAGGTTCCCGAAGGAGCCACCGGAGTAGCAGGCGTCACGCTTGGTGTAGAGGACTAGTTATCAGGTCAGCGTTACGGTTCAATGTGCATGTAACAAGCATATTGCAGCAGTACTCACAGAGGCAGGGGCGGGCGAGCTCGACGCAGGTGCGGCGGAGCTGGCGGGCGCTGGAGCCGAAGTAGACGGAGCGGCGGAGGCCGGAGGGGCCGTGGGCGCCGAGGTCGAAGCGGCTGGGGCTGGGGCAGCACTGGTCGCGGGTGCAGAAGTAGCTGGGGCGCCAGCCGCGGCCTTGCAGACACTATCGACGTATGCAGCAAGAGAGCTCTGGACCAACGGGGTATCGGCAGCCGGGCAGGACTGGGTGACACAGTCCCGCATACCATTGCGGTAATCCGGAACGTCACAGTGGCACTTCTGGTTGTCTGCAGCGCAGCCGGGAATCTTGCCCTTCATGCCGTTGAAGCATTGTTGCTATTTGTCCAGCAAGGTTAGCAAATCTGTCGCATCGAGGTCCTTCTCGCCCAATAAGCCGGCTCCATGCCATCATGCACCACCAATTAGCCGGCGCTCGAGCGACTTGCTCGGCAGTGGGGAAGGTGTGGTGGCATGCGTGTCAGAGATAAATTGGGAAGCACCCAATTTAGCAAGCGGCTAGCTTGCCCGGGGAACTAAATGTGTTCCCGGGAACGGCAGCTTGACGATGGATTGGGATGAGTGGACGGGAAATAGAGAGGCGGAAAGCCGCCCATCAAGAATACTCACACCACACGCAGCAACCGTGCCGAAGTCCTGGGCCGCGACATAGCCGGCGGCCAGGGAAACCAGAACTAAAACGGCGCGCATTTTCGAGGTTGTGGATTCTGGTGAAGTGGATTTGTCCGTTCGCTTTGACAGGCCTCGAGGCGAACTGGCCAGCTACAAACCAGAACAGGTTGGGAACTGGCGGGCTAGGATGAGGTTGATATCAAGAATCCGAGTTCCAGGCGCACAGGCGATTTCGAGACTTTTCGAGTCACCTCGCCTTGAGGTAGCGCAAGAGGCCAGACGCTGTGTATCAAATAAGAGTGCCAATCTCGATCGGCGTGCCACAGGACTGAAGTTGAGTTGCTGGCGATGTCGTCGGGATTGGTCGCTGTCGAAGGAGTGACAAAGTAAAGTCGTCGGAGAGTAGGGTGAGAAGAGTCGAGGCACCGAGGGCCAAGTAGGTACAGAGAATCGAAAGGGTGGACGGAAGATGAGAAGATGAAGAAGAATGAGGCGACACGGTTATGCAAGCCCCCAGACAAATGGAAGAAGAATCGAAGACGAGATCGACAGCTTGCTTGGCCTCGTGGAAAAACTTGAGAAAAAAAACTTGTCACCGTCGTCAGGAAGACCGAAAGGGCACCGTGAGGGGAAAGATGTGAGAAAATAAAGGCAAAAGACTGTTAACGAGAGATGGCAGGTGGTAATGAGAGACTGCGGGGAATATGCCCGTGGATGGATAAGGAACGTCTGATGGTCGGAAAGACGGAAGGAGAAGACGGACGTGGTGTGTGCTGTCCTGTCAAGTTGCGTTGCAGCGAGCAAGGTGCAAAGTGATGGATGATTCTCCCGCAACCGAGGGAAAGCCCTGGCGAGGTGCCGCTCCCAGAGCGGAAGGCGGGCGACAGGCGTAATATACCAGACGGTGGGCACTGGCCTGGGTGTGGTCGCATTTCCCGGGGGCGCGTCGTTTCTCGGCGGGCGCCCGCTCAACTCCCAACCAGGGTCCAAGCGCCCCATCTGCCCCCTGAAAAACAAAACGGGCGCAGCCACACACCACACCCACCCGGGTTGACGGCAGGCACGAACGCGTGCTGACATCCATTTGTAGGTGGGGCCCACCTGCCCGCTGGAGACGCCTGGCGGGCTGGGCAAGTCGACATGGACTTGTTGCACAGCAAATTTAACACGATCCTGGATGGGACCACGCGGCATGCACAAACTTGGCAGCGGGACTTGCAGCCAAGAACGGAATAAAACATGGCGCCCGGACTGGAATGGGGGGCTACGTGATGGCTTCTGCCGTGAGGGGACTTCGAGTCGCTCTCGTTCAACAGGGTGCAGCATGTCTTTCGCTTTCTTTTCTTTCTTTTTTCCTTCTTCTTCTTTTCTTCATGTCCTGCTTAGGGTTGGCTTCACCATTGGGCTGCTGTGCTCAGGCACAGCCTCGAGGTTCCACGGCACAGGAAGCACGAGCTGAGACCACCTGTCAAGGCAAGTCTGCACAGCACATGGCGATTTCGCTATTGACCAAGCCAAAGCTGTCCAGCTCCGCGCCTCCTGTGTCCCTTGGCGACGACTTAGACCCAGCAGGGCTAGAGGCAATTGGAGTCGGCGCCTCGCCGGGCTACCATACGCCGTCCACTTCGCTTCACACCTCAGCCTTCAATAATAGCACCGCCCGCCAGGCCTTATGTCATCGCCTGTGCAGCGTAGATCCATGCATGGCGTCGCGGCTTCCCCCTCCCCTGCCGGATGCGTCCGCTATGTTCGCGCAGAAGGGCGCATGACGGAGAAGTTGCCGCTATATCTGATACACCCTATCACTCCAATCCTTCCAGCTAGAAAAAGCAGCGGCGGGATTCCCGTGCTATACGCATCAAGAGTCAGCCGAGCAGCGAGAACCGATTAGACACCTATACATGCTGCGATAAGCAGCTGCGGTCCCAGACAGTCTGCATCCGGCACCTACTTCGATCCCTTCTTCGGGCATGTTGGGTGTACCGAAACCTGGGTATCGACAATCCGAGTCGCACCTTGTCAATTAACGCGCTCCCGAGACGCAAGCTCGATATCTAGGCGGCTGGTGAGGGCGCCCCGGCGCCAGCCGCGTGCCCTTCATATTCACCTAATGCCAAGCTGTGAAAAGGGGGTGTCATTGACAGGGCCCCAGGCAGCACCCATCCGGTGCAAGATGATCGGCGGCAGGGCATCCTCGCATTGGGGTCGGCTGGTCCCTCGAACCCATGCAATCCAGCAGTTTGTTCGTTCCGCCTGTCAACCAGGCAGTAGGGAACGAGCCTGGGAAAAGATGCGACAGACGGATCCGCCGACTTAAGCTTGGACGACAAGATGAGACGGCGCTCTGCTTCCGCCTAAAAACGCCACTAGACAGGCGTCCCAAGCACGTTCCCCAAGGTACCACAGGAGCACACCTCGAACGAACGGCCGCCCGCACGACACCGAGTTAAAATCCTATCCAGGACTGTGCGTCGGGGCAAGCCCCCCTCCCCCGCCGCTTCCGCCATCGCTACCACAGTTGAGCCCAAATCAGGGCAACAGACGGTCAATCGCTCCATCCAGTGTCCCCCTCCCCTCCCAGGTATCTGTTTCAGAATCGGGCAGGACTCCAAACGACTGCCAGGCGAGGAAGGCTGCAGAGCCCCACCCGGATTTCCCTGGCGCCAGAAAAGAAAAGAAAATCAATTTGGCCCTTGGGCTGCTCGATCCTCAATCGACTTGGGGTCCTGCCGCCGTTGGCGCTCCCTTCCTGTGTGCCGTTTTTTTCGAGCAGATTCGGCCCCAATCTGAAGTCTCATGTTGCCGTCGATCACTGTGCCGTTCGCCTCTCGATTGGCCTGGAACCAACAGCACGTTTTGAAACTTACTGCCGTGACTATGCATGTCAAGGTTGCGATCCGCCGCCGCGGCTGTCAGCTGCCCTCTAGGATGCGTGTTTTTAGTGAATTGGTATTTTACGCGCCGCATTCCATGCCCCCGCATACTTCTTCTCTCCCATCAAGTCGAGGCACGCAGCCCACGGCGGCTCCTCGCTCGTCCTTGTCGCAAGAAATCTTCCTGGGCCTGTCGCAAAGTTGCAAATCCTCATCTTCCGACCGAATTCTCCGTTCGCCCCACAGAAGACTCACGATGGCAGCTCGGCTCTCCTTGTGCCCCGGAGATTGCCTTTCCAAGGGGCGGATCAGGAGGAGAGGGGAGGGGGAATAGGAGCGCCACACCCCTTTTATGCCGCGTCCACTTTCGTCATGCCGACCCTGGGCACAACTTGCTTTTGTGCTTCTTCCGTCTCTCCCCTCCATGGAGGCCGATTATGGTCTCTTGGCGATCCAATGTTGCTTTTTCCATTCCCACATCGCCGCCTTGCCATGAGTCCCCTCTCTTCGGCCTCGCTTGCTGCTGCGCTTTAGTCGAGGGCCTGCACTGAATTTTACCTGTTACAAAACACTGTGCCGCCCCACCCAATTTGCCCAAGCGAGGAGGGCCCTTCATCCATCGTCTTCCTGAGACGCGGTGTCCTCCTCCCAGAAGAACTAGAGGAGCTGCACTCATGTCCTCGGCGTTGCACCTCGCGGGCGGGGGGTCATCAAGGGGCTCGTGATTGTGCGCCCCGATATGACGCACACTGGCATACATAATACGTAGTACGAAGTTTCGCGCAAATGTTTTGACACTCCGTCCAAGACCCCTCCTTCCCGTCATGGCTTGTCGGGGGTGTCCGTCTGGGCTGTTCCTGAGAAACGTCGCTTCCCCCCCGCTCTGCCTCCTGCGCGGCCCCTTCCACCCATCATCGTCTGATATGGCCGACTGCATGTGTGCATCAGCCCCCGTCATGCCCAACAGTGAAATCCGGGGAAATCTTGAGCTGTTTACCTGCCCAACCTCCGAGACCTGTCTCCGAAATTAATTACCTCCCCCAGGCTTTTTACAGTTTGTGCGATTCTTTAGAGACCTGCTTGATTTCTTGTGTCCCGTCTCGTGTCGTTCCATCGTGCCATCATGGTAGACAAGCCTCCTGGACATGGCGAGGTCATAATTCCGCTTAAAAATCTCCCAAAGTCAAGAGGATGCGCCCTGTCGCAAACATCTGCTCTTCCCACGGTATCGTCTGACCCCTGCGCTTTCTGCTTCACGATATCGCGGGCCTTGGCGATTTCGATTAATCTGAATCAGACGATGAAGTTCCCCTTGATAAGTTTGCAGCGCAGAGACATGCCGCATACCAAGAGATCCGTAACCCGCCCCCAGCGGCTGAGCTGGAATGCTCGATGAAAATAAGATCTTATTTGGGGCGAAAGATAAGGTCGTATGTGGATGCATGGACGTGTTGATAATTACCTCTACCTAGCTCTGCTTAGCAGAATCCCCGACATCACATTCCTTGTCTAGTCAAAATAGAGATTTTAGTTGTTTACGGAACGTTGTGATGGTAGCGTATCCATAGGGCACGTGTGCCTTAGCACCTCCCTGGCATGACCAGACAGTCGCTGTGGCTGATGAGACTCAGGTGAGGCTTTGGAATTCTACACAGCCAACATGTCCGTCTCCTGCTCTTCCGGCCAGGCCCCGGGAAGTATCTGGGCAGGTGCTGGGCTTCTTCGGAGTTGAAAGAAATCTGGGGGATGTGGGGGAAGTTGGAGATAGGCCACAAGCCACTCAGTGACGTTTCTAGAATCCAAATCCGCCTTCTGGAAGAATCACCAAGTGGATATGGCTTCACGGGAGGTTTAGGCTCTTTGAGCTCCGCCACGATGCTAAAGGCTGATCTTCTCGGGACCCTCCTCAAGCCTCAGACATAGCAGGCCATGCTCGGAGGAAGAGGGTAGGAAGCATGTACAAATACCGCCAAGACCGCACCAGTTGGAGTGAAGAGGTGAGATGGAGTAGATCAGATCCAGATATCACAAACATCACCGGCGTCAAGAGTTTCACGATCACAAACTTGAGAACATCAACATACCTCCAAATATGGGTTGTGGTCCATCGGTAAGTGTCTGTCCAAAACAAAAAGAACGAAACCCCCCCGAGATCATCACAAGCGCCTAGGGGGCTGCGATTGATCACTTTTGGGCTTGCGATGGGGTATAAGATGTGGTATTGGCAAGCGAGGAGTGCTCGCAGTACCGACCTGAGCTTGTACTATGGACTGATATGGCCATGCCTCAGCCCAAGGTCGACGCTTTTTATTTATTGTTTTTCACAGACTGGACATATCTCCTACTCCGTCACAACAATGGCATTCAGGGGTTCACACTCAACTCATCACCGTATATATAAAATAGACCGCATTTGGTCTATCAACTGGTGTCTGTGTAATATGCACTGGTAGACTTACATGGATTTGAAGAGGCTCACAAAAAGACAGGGGCTGCCACGTCTTCGTTGTGAGCATCGTTTTCCCCACGATGAGGATCTATCCTCTGTGAAAATAACACGTTACAGGATGCTGACGGCCAGTGCATACCAGCATATGTGGCCGTACTGGACTATACGATTCTCGCCGCCCTCTGGATGGGGGTTAGATCCATAGCACTCCATCTGCTACCATTCTGCCACTACCGTTTCTTGGTATGCGACTGGAAATCCCTTATTGGCCTGATCCTCGGGATATTGGCTCAAAATCTCGGATCGTCTCGACGCCACTTCCACCAAAGTGCATTTTCACGCATTGGGTAGTGCCGGGGCGTGATTGGGGTATTCCGCATTGTGCCGCCGTATCGCCGTAGGCTTGAACTCCGAATGGATTTGTTCAACACTACACCAACAAGTATTGCGGCCATCTATCATGTTCATCATGGCTGCGGTCACAAGGGCCACTGCGGAGTCCGGTCTGAGGTTGTGCAGGTTTGCGAGAGATTCCCGATAGCCTAATGCCGACTAGGTGCTCCAGCAGATGTACCCAATGCGACGCAATGCAAGATCTCGGCACCTATTTGGCCCAGTCTAGTGGCTGCTGGGCCGACACGCAGGATCCTAGTGATTGCTGGCGCAAGTGGCGCTGTCTCACTGGCGGCCGTGATAAGCAGGGCATTGCTTCTTCTATGTAGCCCCGGCGCCTTGCTTCGCTGTTCCTACATAGATCCTGCGGTTAAGCGCAGCTAAAAATCCGGACTGTCGTCGTTTTGCATGCAAGCTGTGTCACTGTGTGGAGAGGCTGGGGTGAGTGCAGGGAGGGAGGACCCCCTCCATGCCAAAGCTTACAGATGGGGATGCCATATAACTTCCGTCCCTTGTAACATGGCATCCCAGCGATGCCCTCCGATCCAACATCGTCCCGTGTATCGCCCACATCTCCCACCACCTAGCATTCGGCACTCGAAATAGACGCACAAGCCATGGCCAAACAGGAAGCCGCAAAGCTCGTCGCGCTCCTCGACGGGATCGACCAGTCGACCGCGGGGATCCGCGGCGACGACGTCGCCCGTGTGCAGCTGCGGGACGCCGCCGAGAGGTGCCTGGCGCGCCTGCAGACGCCCTACGAGCGCTCGTGGGACCTCGCCTTCGCCAACCCCATCGTCTTCGCCTGTCTCCAGATGGGCATGGACCTCGGCCTCTGGGAGGCCTGGCGCGCCGCGGGCGGGGGCGACAAGACGTTGGATGACATTGCCGATATGTGCGAGGAGGGCCACGCGCGGCCCGACATCAACCTTCTCCGCAGGACGGTGAGGCTGCTCGCCATGTTCAGCGTGCTGGAGGAAAAGGGAGTCGATCGATATGGGCCAACGCCCTTCTCGCTCGAGATGGGCGACAAGACGGCCTGTGTGGCTCAGACGTTGGAGTGCGGGTGAGCAAGTCCGATCCTTGCTGTGAAAGTGACTCTATATTCCCGCGGCATCATCTTACCATATGTGCAGAACCGATCACTTCATGCGCGCCGGCCACAACCTGCCGAAATACCTGGCCAAGACCTCGTACCGCGAGCCCCTGGACCCCAAGACGTGCAACTACGTCGACGCCTTCGGGCTCGAGTTCTTCGACCGCGTCAAGCGGGACCCGCGCATGAACCAGAGCTTCGCCGACCACATGGCCGGCTTCACCCAGCGCAAGACGCCCTGGGTGGAGCTCTTCGACACCGGGGCCAGCCTGATGTCCGGCGCCGAGCTCGGTGGCGGTTCCCCGCTCTGTGTGGACGTGGGCGGCGGCGTCATGGGCGTCGACATCACCCACCTGCTCAAGAAACACCCGGGCCTGCCCGCCGGGGCGCTGGTCCTCCAAGACCTGCCAGAGGTCGTCGGCGCGGCCAGCCTGGACGGCGAGATTAAGAAGATGGCGCATGACATTTTCCAACCGCAGCCTGTCAAGGGTAAGTTCAGCAATATGCTCGCCTCTTTTCCCCCCTCAGCCCTGACGCTCATACGTGGCCGGGACAATAGGAAGTCGGGCGTACTACTTTCACGCCGTGTTCCATGACTGGCCCGAGGCAGAGGCCCTCGTCATCCTTGGTCACATCGCGGCAGCGATGCGCAAGGGGTATTCCAAACTGCTTATATACGAGGTCATGATCCCCGCCGCGGGCGCCACCCGCTGGCAGGCCATCATGGACGTCGGCATGATGTCGCTTCTCTCGGCCCACGAGCGCACAGAGGCGCAATGGCGCTCTCTTTTGACAAAGGCTGGCTTCTCTATCCTCAATTTCTGGCCCGATCTCAAGGGTACCGAGACGTTGATCGAGGCTGAGCTGGCATAGCCCTGCTTGGTTTCCTTCTTGTATGCTTGCCTTCGGTCTCTGCGATCCTGTTCTGTTTGTTTTATTCCCGTGATTCTAGGCAAGGCTGGGAAGAATCCAAGCGTGGGGCATATACTTAATACCACCTCGAGAACAGTTGGCCGTCCGGGGCCAAGTTCTGTCTGACGCACTACCCCCCCACCATCTCGTGTATGCCTTGGAGCCTGTTGTGCAACAAACCGCTGCCATAAAGTGCCTGGCTATGTAGGAGGCCTCCACACCTCAAGATAATGCCCCCATCTTCTTGGAATATCTGCTTGCCGGCATCACTGTGGCTCAGCCTCCCCGCTTTGGAAAGGCTGTATTCAGATCTGCCCCCCTTTCCAGAAGAGCCCGATTCCTAGAAATACCTAACACGCCTTTCCTTTTCTGTGGATTCTTTTCGCTATCCAGGGCCACGACGGCTTTATCTTTGTCTTTATTAGACAGCCCGGACGTAAATCCTGATCCAAGAAACGTGCTTGCCTTTGCGCCCGCGGTCCTCCATGAGAAATGGGTGCTCTCGAACGCTGTCTTCAGGACACAAATGATGTTGAGAAGCAGAAGCTCAGTCCATACGCCGGCATCTCGGGAATAGGAGTCAGTGTTTTCGGTTCCCTCAATCCCAGATACAACTAGTCGTTTAACTAATTCTGTCGACCAGGTCGTTGCCGCCTTCGTTGGAACAACGTTCATCGCGCTCTTTCTCGTCATCTGCAATTATCTGGTCGCCTATAATCCAACAACCAACCCCTTCACGCCCCTCGATGGTCGGCTAGAGGACTCGTGAACGCAATGTGGGCACAATGTGGCTGCGCTACCGGCTTCCACAACGGGAACCAGGAAGGATGATGCTGACTGGTGGCGCCCAAATCCCATCGACACGATGTTTCTCCGTTGTATCCGCCGTGTGACGGTCAGGGGGATGCCCTTTCTGTCTCGGTTCTCCTCCCGCCACATCGGCGATGCCTTCGTCGAGGCGCGCTTATGACTCCCGTCGTTATGGATCTTGAGCCCATTTACCCCCTTGACTACCGCAAGGACACTCGCAAGCCGTTTTGACTGACTTGTCTGTAGTGCGTCATCTTGTTTAGCGATATCCAATCCGACCCCTGAGGGCAGGCCCGTTCGACCACTTGACGAAAAAGGCGCCATTCGGGCGGCATTACAACGCGACTACTACACCACAGCGCCTTGGGCGCCCGCATGCGCTTTGCTTTTGACGGGCTGTGCGTTGCTGACCGTGACTCTGATGCCGATACTATACTTCGGGACTGCTTAGCGCGATTCACCGCTTTCATATTTCATCCGAGCAAGCCTTCTCACCCAGCTCATATTTACGACGCCCTTAGCCTGCTTCGCGGTCACCCTACTTGGACTCGCTGTGCAAAATCGCATTGACAAGCGCTTCGCTTTTCTCCTTTATGTATCTTGCGTGGCCCCCGGCTTCTTTAGCGGTTTCATTGCCATTCTATACGTGGCTTGGCGCGCGATGTCTCTCATGAGAGCAAATTTGGATGGCATAGAGCTCATCTGGGGCCTCCTGGGTCTCACAGGTCCCATAGCCGTACTCCGCTTGTACCCTTTGCTCGTAATCATTGGCATTGTTCGGGACTTTCACGCCTCAAGGTCAAGGCGGAGGGGAGTTCGTAGTCGAGGATCACAAGTTCCTAGCTTTTGAATATATAGGGAGGTAGACACATAGGCAGTTAGTTAATTGAACATTTTAATGGGGTCATGTTTCAGTCCTCTGATCAGATGCGGATGATGATTAAGCTGGTATAGTTCATGAAGTGATCTTCGTGGCGTGGGGGCTCATGAGAGTTGAGCATTGTGGCATGCAGCTCTTCGATCTAAACCCTACAAATGTTCGTGCCGGTTGGAGCTGTAGGAGTGGAGTGGACAAGTGGCGTTTGATAGCGGAGACGGACACGCCGCGGAGCGCGCCACAGCGCCCCACGCATTGATTGTCGGGTGGGCAGGTACCGAATTGATCCCTGGCCGTCAACGGCGAACTTGATACACCACGCTGGCTGTTCCACTCGGTCACAATCTTTGTCTTCAGACTTTGGCGCCACGGAACCCAGACCACTCCCTCGGTTGCACATAACCCACCGACCGAGGCCGTTGCCCTTCGAGATGACGGCTTGACCTCGCAGGACCGAGCTCAGCCTCCTTACAGCACGCACAACTGCAAACCTCGCGGCGCCCTCCGACGACCTCCCACGATCACGAAAACGGGCGCGACGACCGACTGTCGCAGCAATGGCGTCCTTACCACCGCGCCACGGCGCCCTCTCGATTGCGCTCGTCCTCCAGCTCCTCTTCCTCGCCGTGGCAGCGTACAAGGAGCTGTCGGATAGCTTCCTCAAGGCGATCCCCGTCGAGGGCGCCGACTTCGACATCCACCGCGGCAAGCTGCTGTCGCCCATATTAATACCCCGGGTGCCCGGGACGCCGGGCCAGGTCAAGGTGCAAGAGCACTTTGTCAACTTCTTCAAGAAGGACCTGCCGAAATGGTCCATCATGTGGCAGAACTCGACGGGGACCACGCCCGTATCCAACGGGAAACAGATACCGTTCCAGAACCTCATCTTCCGCCGCGAGCCGCCTTGGGTCAGGCCCGGCCAGGCAAACTACCTGACGCTGGTGGCGCATTACGATAGCAAGATTACGCCCACGGGTTTTATCGGCGCCACGGACAGTGCGGCCCCTTGCGCGATCCTGATGCACGTCGCTCGCAGCATCGACAAGTACGTGACCCAAATGCACGACGAAATGGCCGCCCTCGGCGAGGGGGGCACTATCGCGATGGATATGGGCGTGCAGATCATCCTGCTCGACGGCGAGGAGGCGTTCAAGGCCTGGACGGACACGGATTCGGTTTATGGAGCAAGGTAGGTTTTAAAAGCCCCCCCTGACCTGCAAACCCGGCGCATTTCTCCTGCGTATATCCATCCATGATAGAGAGCGCCAGGCTGACGCACGGGCGCGCATTCAGATCTCTTGCTGCTGAATGGGATAGGACATTCAACCCGGCCATGTCCCAGTACAAAAATCCGTTGGAACAAATCAGCGTGTTTGTACTGCTGGACCTGCTCGGGACGGCGAACCCGGAAGTGCCGTCCTACTTCCAGACGACGCACTGGGCGTACGCGAAGATGGCCAAGATCGAGGAGCGCATGCGCGGCTTAAAGCTGCTCGAATCGAAGCCCAATGGGCCCTTCTTCCCTGATAAGGATAAGACGCACTTCTTCCCGGCCGGTGTGGGCGACGATCACATGCCCTTTATGATGCGCGGCGTCGACGTTCTGCATCTTATCCCCTCACCCTTCCCACTGGTCTGGCACACGATGAACGACGACGGCGATCATCTGGACCTTGCCACGGTCCGGGACTGGACCAGGATCACGACGGCGTTTGCGCTCGAGTGGTTGGACATGATGGAGGTGTGGCCCGCCGAAGGGAAAGCGGGGGGACGGTGATAGTAGAGATAACGCATAATTGGAAAGAAATCAAAATGAAGCGGCCCCCTTGGAAGTTGAACAAGCCTCGGGGCTGTGGGCGTCTGCCTAGTGCGTGGCTAGGGTGATCAAGTCAACCCTGCCTCGGGCGCGGGAAGTGACAGTTCTCAGAAACGTTGGATACAGGAAGCAACCGATCTCGGGCCGAAGAGGTCTAGTCGACGATGGCCTCGCTTCGGCTTTCTGGCCCAAAATGTGAATAACGCGGGTTTGCAATTCATTCCATCACGCTTCCCAGCTCCTGCATCTTGGGCCGTGACAACTTGAAAAAAACTCACGAGAGCAATCGATTGGCCCTGCCCCATACCATTTGGCGGGATCTGGGCCACCCGTCACGCCAACCTTTTGGCTGCACAGCTGACGCAGCACTGCCTCACTCAACGGCGGAACTATCGATGCAGTGTTCCTTCCACCCATACGTGAGCAACGTTGAGATCCGGGGGCAGTGTTGAATGGCCGGTAGCGACGCGACACTGCCACTGGGCCTCCATATTGGGCTCTGAACTCAAGACCGCTTATGTCGTCGTCACGTGCAGCTTCGCCAAGCCGAGGAGCATATATATCTCGCGGGTGTTCCCAGGTTGCCGATCCTGCAGAGCTGGTATTACACTATAATCGACAGGAAAGTCCGCACCAAACAAGGGCATCCAACCACCAACTACGGACGGACACACACGCACACACACACACACACACACACACACACACACACACACACACACACACACACACACACACACCGTACCGAACGTC